AGTCTCTCACCGACGGAGCCCGTGGGGGGGGGGGGGATCACCGACAACAAATGAAACTCTGCCCGCTTGCAACGCCTCCCTCCAGCAAAATGCCTGAGTAAACAGATAAGCCTTTGCAATCTCCCTTGAAGGTCAGTGTGCTCCAGCCCAGCTGGACGCCCACCATGGACGGGGGGACTGCACGGGGCCGCCCCTGGGGTTCCATCCCCACTCCTTGCCCTGTTGGGGTGGCTGGAGGGGGGGACGCAACCCCCAGGGTGGGCAGCAGGCCCAGACCAGGAGCCTGGGCGTCACTCGGGGTCCTGGGCAGGAGGGGCCAGCGCGTGCCGGGTTCTCATTTGGACTTGGCTGGGTAATCTGAAGCTCATTGCTTTGTTTCTCTGTCCCTTGGTCTCTGAGGTCCCAAGACCTGTGAGTGAGGGGATGACAAGTCGTCTGCTTTGGATCAAACTTGGGTCCTTGGCTTGCATGGGGAGCCTGGCTTGGGCTCTGTCATGTCCCGTGCCCCAAGGAGTTGCTTCCTCCTGGGGTCCCCTCAAAGAGCCTGAGGCTGCCGGTGGCTCTCCGGCTCCCGACCAGCAGCGGTCATCTGCTTTCCTAAGAAAAGGGAGCATCTAGGAAGGTTTATTAAATTACAGCAGAGCCATAACCCTGCCCAGAGCCTTGGGAAGGGCTTTGGGCTGGTGGGATCAGCGGGGGGCTGGGACAAGGCAGCTCTTGATGGCCATGGTTGGGAAGGCAGAGTTGCTCCACCTGAGCAGGACCGGCGGGGCTGGGATCCATCACCAGCACCTTCTCCGGTGCTTTGCCGTGCGGGTGTGGACCAGTGTTATGATAACCAAAGGCAGAGGTTGGAAGGTTCTCTTAGTCCTCCACTTGGCATGGTAATTATGTGAGTTACTGGTGTCAACTGGAGGTAAAGCTTTGATGTGTCTATGGAAAACCTGGTAACCTCTTCCTCCATGCTCTGTTTCGTGAAGTTATTTGGGTGATCGGTATCTTCCCCGCTTCCCTTGGTGTTTCCCTCCTCCCTGCATCCTCCAGGACCCTGAGGGAAGGAGCGGTACCCGGCACCATTCCCGTGCTCGCAGGAGGGGAGGGAGCTGTGGTTTGGAGCTGGCTGCCCATGTACCACTGGCTCCTCTCCGTGTCTTAATTCCCCCAGCTAAATTGCATTTAAAGACGACCCTGCGGGTAGAAAGCATCCTGCCCTCAGGGTTGGGGGGGGCTCCTGGTTTAGGAAGCTTTGTCCTGGTGCCAGCTGCACCATAGGGCATCTCCCTGCCATTGCCATCTCCCCAGCAGTGGCCTCGGCGTGCCAGGACAGACTGGTGGCCAAGGGCTTCATCTGAAGGTGATGCAGGGATGCCCCGGGAGAGCCTGGGAGGTGGGAGGCACTCGCAGGCTGTTGGCGTTTGGAGAGGGTTTTCCAGGGTTGGAATTGGAAGTGGTGATGTGTCCTCCTTCTCCGCAGGTCCCCGTGTCCGTGGCCATGATGTCCCCCCAGATGATCACGCCGCAGCAAATGCAGCAGATCCTCTCGCCGCCCCAGCTCCAGGCCCTCCTGCAGCAGCAGCAGGCGATCATGCTGCAACAGGTAACGCTGGTCCTGGGCTGGCTGTGCGTCGGCTGGATCTGGCCCAGTGATTTCCCACCAGTGCTTGTGAACGCTGGAGCTTTAGATGGGTCCCTTCCTCCTTGGCCTTCTAATTCCCCCCATATTTCCCTGGGGAGTCCCAGCATGGCGAGCACCAAGGGATGAAAATGGCTGCAGGTGCTAACGGTGCTGGCAAAGCCGGTGCTGCTGCTCTGAGTCAGGGTCTCAAAGCCCAAAAAGCTCCTGCACGAGGGCTGGTTCGGGACTGCCCAGATCTTGGGGAGAGCTGGGGTCAGGGCGGATGCTCTTGGCTCGCCGGCCCCCAAGCAGAGCCCCCGCGGCCGCTGCCTGGGCTTTGGGGCAGGTGCCTGGGTCCAGCTCTGGACCTGAGCGATGTGGGTTTGTTTCTCACGGCCCCGCTCGGCTTTTCCAGAGCGCTCAGTCAAATGTAAAAGGAACTGGGAGGGAAGAAAAAGGAGGAGAATTTAAAAAAACAAACCTCAACTCCGAAACAAAACAGGTCTGCTTGGGTAAACACCTCCTGCCGCAGGCGGGAGGGAGAGAAGGAGAAATCCCACAAGCATCCTCCACACCCTTCCTCCTGCCTCCAGTACCTGTTTACTCCAAACAGGCTGATAAGGATTCAAGGTTGGCCCCAGGGAAAGAACAAAGGGTAAACACTACCCTGGGTGGGTCCTTCTCCGAGCCTCTTTGGAGCCGGATAAAGAAACACGTTTGACTGCAAATTAAACAACCCAGGCCGGAATAGCTCGCATTCTCCACCAGAAGAAAACCAAACATCACACCTCTCACCCCTGACCCAATGTTCCCGCAGCCCTGCTCGACCATGTTGCAGAGACCTGGCTTTGATTGGCTTTCGGGTAAACACCCAGGCTTTCCAAACCTGTTCGCCGACAGAAAAAGCAAAGTTGCTGCTGCCAGAGCTGTCAGCCCTGAGCTGATAAAGGCTTCCCGGCATCCAAAGGGAGCGGCCGCCGTCGCCCCTGCGCGGGGGTATGGGCTGGGTGGGAGGGGGCCGCCAGGTCTCGCTGACCTCCCCGTGGCTCCGGCCCCTCCTGCGGGCAGCAAATCCATCACCAACAGTTTATTTAGGGGCTGGGGCGAGAGCTGGCGTCAAGGCCGGCAGGTCCCGGTGCTGCCTCCTGCAGACCGGGACCCACTCTGGTGGCTCATTGCGGGGCTAGCATGTTTGCGCTTTTACTGGCCCAGCAAACCCCTCTGTTTTGACCAGGGTTGCCTGCGCTTTCCCCCGGCAGGGCTCGCTGCGCTAACGAGGATGCACGTTGGGCTGAACACGCAGGAGATCGATTCCTCCTTTCCTTTGCGTGCAGCTGAACATCAGAGGCTGGGTGTCCTCTGCACTCTGAGCCCCCGATGCTCGTGGGGTTACACCAGCCAGACCAGGCTGCTCCCAGCCCCTTCCCAGCCAGGAGCCCCCCCAGCTCTCGCATCGCTTGCTAAGAGTGTTTTGGGGTCCCACCATGCTAAAAATGGGGTTTCTCCACTGCTGAAACACTGGGTTACATGCCAGAGCGCCTGGGCCCCTTCTCTCAAGGGGGTTGCCCACCTCCTGGTGTTTCATATCCCCACATTGAACGCGCTCCCCCTCCAGGACAGCTGCAAAATCCCCAGGATGCAAAGGAATTACTGAGGGTTGTGACCCTCCTTCCTGGGGCTCAGCAAGGCGGAGGCTCCCGGACCAGCCAGTAGCAGAAAGCCAGGGCAACCAGTTGGCATTAAAAAACCAGCAGGTTTAGCATCGGTGGTGTTTGGGGGGTTTTACTGGCTGTGGGGATCCAGAGCCCTTAGGAGCATGAGCCCAAGGCTTCTCCTGCAGCTGTGACTCCTTCAGTGGGGGCTTTTCCTCTTAACCCGCAGGCAAAAGCCTGCCCGGATGGCGTGGTGCCAGGAGCTGGCATGGCTGGGGCAAAGCCCGGTGCTGGACTCAGGGTAGTGCCGGGCAGGGAGACGCGAGCAGGGTGTTTCTGCTGCTAATCCAGGCTGCTCTCTCCCCTCCCGTCCCTCCCTCCCTCCCAGTTGCAGGAATACTACAAGAAGCAACAGGAGCAGCTTCACCTGCAGCTATTGACACAGCAGCAAGCCGGAAAGCAGCAACCCAAAGAGGTGAGCTCACACAGATGGGTTCTGGGCCATCAGATCTGGCAGCAAATAAAAGGGGGACCAGCAGAAAACAAGGCGTGCATGAATCCCAGCACCCAGGGCAGCCGGCTGGGAACCAGCAGGGATGGGACATGGGGGCATCCTGCTGCTCCTGGGGGGTGCTGGGGAGGCTGGTCCGGGTGCTGGGAGTTCCTCTTCCTCCTCCCTATCTGTGATCTGGCACGTGCACCGAGCTGCGTCAGTCAGCACCGGGCCCTTGTTGGTGCATCTAGAAACTATGGGGCGGGCGTGGGGAGCGGCGAAGCCGGCGGGCGCGGGCAGGCAGCTCCGGCAGAGAGTGGGACCCTCCCCGGCAGGAGGGGCGGGTCGCTGCCCCCAGGACAGAGCGAGAGGTCCCCAAATCCTCCTTGCGGTGGGGGGCAGAGGAGGCTCGGCTCAGCCCTTGCCCCCACACGCTGGCCCTGCCCTGGGCAGGCTCTCTGCATGGCTTTGGGTCAGGCAGCCCCGTCCTAATGGAGCTGGCACGGCAGCACCCTAGCAAGTAGGCAGGCAGGTGGGGACCCAAAGCAGGGCTTTTCCTGCCAGGAAAGGCGGTTCTGCAAAACCCAAGCGCTGTTTCGCTCAGCCGGCTTTGGCAGAGCTGCTCCGTGCTTGCGCCGAGTTTCCCCTGTAATACCCGTCTCATTTTCCACCCGCTGCCTGATCGTCCGCGTTCGCCCCATCCTCTGGCACGGAGGGATTACAAACCGGGACCGCCTGGAAAATCATCCCCTCGAGATCCTGCTCACTGGTCGGAGCCGCAGCACCGGGGCTTTCTGGGAGGCAGCCGGAGCTGTTAGTAAGCACTTTTGCGGGGTGGCAGCCGGCCAAGGAGTGAGTCAAACCCTTTGTGGTGGAGAAGTGTTTATGCGGGTGTGATGGCATCAATCTTGTATAACTCCCTTTACCCAACAGGTTTTACTGTCCTTTCCCATAGTAATGCGCTCCGGGGTGTTGCGGCTGTATCAGCAGTGCTTGGTTTTGGGGACGTGCCAGTCACACAGAGGCTGGGGGGCAACCCTGACCAGCAGCAGGCAGACAGCACCGCTCCCTTCCTTTAGCTTACACATTTTTGCCCCTCTCTCATCCCAGATCGGTGCATGTGGTCCTGCAGGGGGGGTATTTTGTATCGTGCATGCTGCTGTATGTCTGGCATCACTGCCCTCTCTGTCGGGCATCCTTCCTTAGGCTCCTGGTGCAGAGGGACGTGGAGCTGAGCCACTCGGTCCCTGTCCCCAGCCGAGCATCAGTAGCAAGCAGGGGAATGGGGTGCCGGGGCTGTTCGCTGCAATCGCCCCTCCTGAAATCCACCACCCGCTCATCAATTCGCAGCACTTAAACGTTCAGCTTGCTTGGGAGGAAGAAAGCGTTTAAGCCCAGACTGTGCCTTGGGGCGGCTGCAGCGGGGGCTCGAGGCAAAGCGCGCGCTGGCACTGGGGGAATAGAGCGGCTCGAGCGGGTCGGGGTCGGGCCAGCACCCACTCGAGCCTTCAATAGACTTTGACCCCAGGCTTTCATTGCGGGATGTTGGCATATTTACGCAGCGTGTGCGGGGTCAGGCTTTATCGGAGCCATCTCCAGGAGCTGGAGTAGCTGCTTGTGCTCCAGGAACAGGGGAGACATAAATCTGAGCTTCCTCAAGGACTTTCCTCTTGGCTGTGGCGATGTTATATTGCAGCGACGAACAGGGATATAATTAAGCTCTAACAAAGGGCTTGCTTAGCAGGCTCCTGGTTTAAAAAGCGCATGTTAACTTTTAATTAAATGGTACAGAGGAGATGAGAAATTTATCCACTAAGAAAGTCTTGAGTGGCCGGCAGGGGGGAAAGGGCATTAGGTGCTGCTTCAGGGGGTGTGTGTCCAGCTGCTGGCAGCATCACCACCCCATGGCCAGGAGAAACAGCAATGGGGGTCCCCACAAGTGGATGTCGTAGTGTTTCCCCTCCCCAAAACCCCCCCAGCCGGGCTTTGTGGGGTTGGCTTCACCCCATGAATTTGGGCAGCTGCTATTAATAAAGCCTGCGTTCGGCAGCAGCGCGTGCCTGCTGGGAACGGCGATGCCGTTGCTTCCCCCGACGGCGCAGGGAATAGCTGGCGTGTCTGGGATGCCGCCGCAGAGCCGCTCTTGGCCGGCATCGTCTCCTTCATGGAAATCCACGGCGGTATTTAATTACGGCCCCGCTGCAAGGTTTGTAAACCGAGCGCCTTCTGCTTTCCCTCTGCTTGATTTCAAGGGCTCGCCTCGGTGTAATTGTAAGTCAGCGGCTCGTCTGCGAGCGCGGAGGGGGATCAGCAGGTGGGAACGGCTTTGTGCCGCGCCGCACCGGGAGCAGGTAGCAGCCTCATGGAGGAGCAGCTCAGATCTCCCCAGGAGGAGCGGCGCGGCTGGAGGTCCCCCGGTGGGTGCAGGGAAGGGGGAGAGCAGGAAAAGAGGGAGTGCAGAGGATGGGAATGTGTCGGAAGCGCCTGTCGGCAGCATCCTGTCCCAGAGGATGCGGGGGGGCTTTGGGTCCATGGGCTGCGCCGCGGGGGGGGGGGGGCGGGGGGGGGGGGGGGGGGCTCCCCACCCCCTCCCGGAAGTAGAATTTTGAGGCGTTTCGAGCGCATTCGCTAACGGGGGGGCGCAGAAGCTCCCCCCCCCCCCCAGGGG